AGCCCAGCTCCCTGGCGAGGGCCGTTGCCTCCCTCCTGCGCCGCTTCGTGCGCGTAGCAAACTGCTCAAGATGCTTCCGCAATCCCTCCGGCGGCCCTGCCGGGAAGGACTCGACTCGCGGCGCCCGCGTGAGCAGGAGGTCCTCGTGGCGCGTGGCGCGCGAGAGCAGCGCGTAAAGCTCCAGCCGCCAGTCGTCGTCCTCCTTCCTGCCGTTCCCCACCTCGTGGCGGCCGCAGTCCAGGATCACGCCTGGGCGACGTCGGCCGAGGGGGCAGCGCGCTGGACAGCCGACGGCACAAGGCGAGAGTCTGAGACGGAGAGAAGGTTTCCAAGACGTGTGAGGGACCACGAAACGTGTGATGGGCGTGCCAAAATAGGGCGGCGCCGCCATGCCGCCATGCGGGCTGCGCCACTGGGACCCTCGATGGGGCTCCCTGTGGGGCCACGAAACATGTGACGGGTGAGCCAACATGGGGCGGCGCCGCAATGCGGGAGGCGCCACTGGGATCTTAGATGGAGCTCCCTATGGGGCCACGAAACATGTGAGAGGTGTGCCAAAATGGAGCGGCGCCGCCATGCGGGCTGCGCCACTGCGACCTAAGATGGAGCTCCCTATGGTGCCATGAAACGCGTGAGGGGTGTACCACGATGGGGCGGCGCCGCCATGCGGGCTGCGCCACTGGGACTTCAGGTGGAGCTCTCTGTGGGGCCACGAAACGTGTGAGTGGTGTGCCAAAATGGAGCGGCGCCGCCATGCGGGCTGTGCCACTGGGACCTTAGATGGAGCTCCCTATGGGGCCACGAAACGAGTGAGGGGTGTACCAAGATGGGGCGGCGCCGCCATGCGGGCTGCGCCACTGGGACTTCAGGTGGAGCTCCCTATAGGGCCACGAAACGTGTGAGTGGTGTCAAAATGGGGCGGCGCCGCCATGCGGGCTGCGCCAATGGGACCTTAGGTGGAACCCCCTTTCTGGGGCCACGAAACGTGTGAGGGGTGTGCCGAAACAGAGACATGCGGACAGCAGAGGCAAGGAAGGGGAGGAGGGAGGAGGAGGAGGAGGAGGAGGAGGAGGAGGAGGAGGAGGAGGAGGAGAGGAGGAGGAAGGAGACGCGGGGCACCGTCTCTTCCAAACGAGGACCCAACACCACAGGATGGTTGGGAAAGAGAACCGCCGTCAATACGCTAATCTCTTGCATTATTTTCGAAACGAATGTGCGCGGCGCTAGAGTGAGAGCCACGTTCCCGAAACGACCCACCCTCAATCCGTGAAACTCAGACAAATGTGCGAAACAAATGCGCGGAGCAAATGTGCACGGCGCTAAAGCGAGAGCCACATTTTGAAAACGACCCGCCCTCAATCCGTTAATGTGTTACGAATGTTTAAAACGAATGTGCGCCGCGCTGAGGCGAGAGCCATATTAAGACCGATCCGACTCCAATCCGTGAAACGTTTGCAAAATTTCAGAACGAGTGTTCGCGGCGCTAATGCGACAGCCACACGTTGAAAACGATCCGCCCTCAATCCGTGAAACTCCTGCGAACGATTCAAACAAATGCGCGGGCGCTGAGGCGAAAGCCATCTTTTGAGAGCGGCCCGCACTTCATCTGTGAAGCTGCCATTCAACCATGGCGAGGAAGTCTCGGGCGAAACGCCCAGCCCGCCTTTTCGACCGGCCTCGGGGCGCGACAGGGATGAACCATCGATAAAGAGAAAGACTAGGGGAGAAGGACGAGAAGGCATGGAGCAGCAGGCACACAAGGGGAGTAGGGGGAGGAGAGATGAGGAAAAACAGATCACTGACAAATATGAGAAAGAAAAAAAAAAAAAAAAGAGAGAACGCAAGGGAGAGGGAAGAAGGCCGTTTCTGACAGCGCGGAGTTCCCTCCATCCGCGACTCTACGCGGGACCGAAGGGTAGCCGGCAGGATCCCGAGGAGGCGGAAGGGAAGGGAGAGAAGGAGACGGGGGCGGAGGACGGGCCCTGGCGAGCTCAGCCGACTTCTCTCCGTCGCGCGCCCCGCTCGAAAAAGAAAGCGCGCAGGAGGGGCAGCAGAAAGCGAATGGGAGGAAGAGGGGGCGGAGGAGGGGGAGGAAGAAGACGGGGGGAAAAGGGCGGAAGGCCAGCGTAAACCCAAGACTCATCAGCGATGTTGGAATCGCGAGACAGCTCGCCGCTTGGGCCCCACCGCCAACCCAAACGGCGAGCATAAATCGGGCGCAACCCCAAACGCATTCGAATGCCCACACCTCGTCCATGCAGTACTCCCCACCCAGATCGTCGTCGTCCTCCTTCTCCTCCTCGTCCTCCTCGTCTTCCTCGTCTTCCTCGTCCTCCTCGTGCTCCAACACCTCCTCGTCGTCGTCCTCGTCTAGGAACTCGTCCTCGGTTCACCTCGTCCTCCTCCTGCTCATCCTCCATATCCTGGCACCTCGGCCCTTCTCGCCCTCGCCGGCCCGCTTGCGGGTCAGCTCAAGGCCGGGCCAGGTCACAGACCTTGCCGCGGGGACGCCAGCGAAACGGCGGAAGCCCGACGCGCGGAAAAGGCAGCGCGCTGGAGGAGATTGGCAAAGAGGAGTGAGTGAGGAGGCCCCCTTCGACTCTCCAACGCAATAGGAAACGCAAGGACAGCTCCCGGCTGGGCGCGCGGGACCGCCCGAGGCATAGTCGTTCGTGGGAAGGGGCAGATGCTGGGAGAATCCTCGGGCATTCCCTGGGCTAGCGCGGCCGCGTGTTCCCCGCGTCTGCGCCCAAACAAAACAGTCCAGACCATACGGCGCACCGATCTTCCACGGTGGATGCCTCGACGTTGCTGCCAAAGAAACACCGGGAGCAGGTGCAACACCACGCTGAAAGATACAATGGTGCCACCCCATGTTGGTGGCAGGTGCGGCACGTCGTAGATGTGTGCCTGCGCGGTGCGTCGCATGACCCCCCCATCACCGCTCAAAGGTCGGCGGCAGACCGCCTAGTTTGCGCCCTCGGCCGCCACGAACAAAACCAACTCCAGTTGGTTGCGCCCTGGGTTGCGCCCTCGGCGGTGGTGATGTTGCGCGATAGGTTGTGGCCTCGCCCCCCCCCCCCCCAACAAAAAAAAAAAAAAAAAAAAAAAAAACTGTCTCCGATTGGTCGCGCCATGAGTGGCGCCTTCGCCCCACAGCGGTTGCGCCATAGGTTGCGCCCCTGACCGCCCAGATTAAGATCGCCTCCTCTTCGTTGCGCCAAGGGTTGCGCCTTCAGCGGCCGAGATTAAAACCGCTTCCTACTGTATGCGCCATTGGTTGTGCCCTCGGCGGCCGAGAATACAACCGCCTCCTAGGGGTAGCACCATCGGTTGCGGCCATCGGCGGCCGAGATTAAAACCGCCTCCTACTGGTTGCGCCAAAGCTTGCTCCCTCGGTGGCAGAGAAACAAGCCGCTTCCTATTGGTTGCGCCATCGGTTGCGCCCTCGGCGGCCGAGCATCAAACCGTCTTCTGTTGGTTGCGCCAAAGGTTGCGCCCTCGAAAAAAACGCCCCTTCATCGGTTGCGCCATATGTTTCGCCCTCGGCGGCCGAGAATAAAACCGCCCCTCCTTGTTTGCGCCATCGGTTGGGCCCTCGGCCACTGAGAATCAAGCCATCTCCTCTTGGTTGTCTCATGGGTTGCGCCCTCGGCGACTGAGAACCAAACCATCTCCTATTGGTTGCGCCATAGGTCGCGCCCTCCACAGAAAACCACGCTACCGAGGAACCCCAGATATTTTGCCCCGGAACATGCTAACCCACTGCTCGCGCCCACTGCTTCGCCAACAGGGGTGGACTGACGGGACACTGAGGCGCCTGGGCAAATTCGCGGGGTCGCCAGGGCGAGGAGCGGCGCCAGACGAGGAAAGCTTTTGGAACCCCGCGGGGTCGTCGATGTCCAACATCTCAACGACCTGGCCTCGGGGGAACGGAGGGCGATGCACCCCTTGCCCCTGCGGGTGGAGAGCTCCGGCGCTCTTCAAAACCCCTTCGCCGGCCGCGTTGGCGATCTTCACGGCCATTTTGTCGCCCAGGGCAGAAGCGTTCAAACATGGTGAACCATTGAGCCCGGCCAGCTCGGGGCGCCACGCGCGAAAGGCCTTTAAAACGATCGCCCGGGAGGTGACCTCGCAAGGCATTCCGCTTAGCGCGGCCCGGTGGCACTTTCAAGGTGTCGTAGAGCTCGCGCAGGTCGTCACAGGACACAACAAGCCACTTGCCTGAGGCGAGGCCCATACGGCAGGGCAGGAAACCCTGGCCAAGGCGCTGCGCGCTGGAGGAAATGCTCTGACAGCGACTGTCCACCACCGTGGGATTTAGGATCAGTCCATCGGAACCACTGTCCTTGGAGACCCTGACTGCACCGCGCGCCTCGTCCCAGACAAGGTCCGAGGAGTGCGTCAAGCACAGGGCGCCGCAGGAGTCCCGCTTCCGAAGAGGCCCCCCGCAGCTAGGCACGGTCTACGTGGACGCGTGCTCCCCTCTGGCTCGGGGGCCAGTCTGTCGACGGGAGGCGCGTGGCCTCGGTAAAAAGGTCCTCCGGATTGCTCGTTAAGACCAACTCTGAACTCCACCGACTGCGTCTTCGCGGCGGGATCAACGTCAGGCGTCGCCTGCTGCCACGACCTCCCTGGGAGTCTCTTTTTCGGTCGCGTTGAGAAGCGCGACCTCCTCTCTGCCGCGCCGCTCTTGGGACGCGTGCCCGGCTCTGGCTCTGTCTGCTCTCTGGGGCGCGCGAGGTCCCAAGACCTTTCTTGTCCAGACTAGGCAAGCCAATCCATTTTTGTTTTGGGCGCCTCCGCCTCGGCGGCCACAGGTCGGGCGCTCGCCGCGCGCCGCGCGCGGGCCCACGCGGCGCCCCCGTCTAGGGTCGGGTCTTTCACCGCCCTTCGTAAGGCCCCCCGTGGCAAGGAAATACTCGCAGCCCACGCCGATCCACCCTCCCACGTGCACCCCGAGCCCTCAAAAAAGCAAGTGGCTGGCCCCCCAACCCCACTGGAGATGCATGGGGGTTGGCCCCGCGCGTGCGGCCAGCAATGCAAAGCAGCTGCAGAGGGTAGGAGAGAGGAGATAGACCCAGTAAAGTGTGCCCTGTGCGCGGTACAAGATATCCAATAACAACAAGAGCAGCACGACTGCGAAGCATGAGCACGAATAACAAAAGGTGGAAGCGCAGGAACAAAAAGAAAGCGGAATGTGAGTCAGCACAACCACTGCAGGGTAAAGCATAAGCTGTGGAGAGGGCCAACCACAGAGAGGGGCACATGGAAGAAGAAGACGAAAAGGTACGAACGAAGGGAAGCGCTGGGACGGCAGGAAAGGGGGAAAGGGAGGGGGAGGGGCGCAAGGGGGAGGAGGGACAGGGCAGAGAACGCGGGTTCGGCCTTGGGAATGGAGTTCCACTCAGGAAGTGCCCTTGAGGTCGGCAGGACCGACAGGGAGCGCACCGTCAGACCAGGGAGGACAATTTACCACAGCTGGTAAACCATATTACAAGAAAGGGCAGAGCATATCGCGAGTGGCTGCAGTCCTGGCGCGCTCGGCCTCCTGGAGGCGCTGGGCCGCAGCGTTTGTCCCCACGCGGAAAAGCGGCGGTAAGCTCTGCTGTGACATGGGGGCGCGTCTGCCTATGACGCCCAGTACGCGCATTTAGCCGTCCGCGCTGCAGACCGCTGGCCAAGGCTACTGAGGCCGAGCGGCAGCGAGCTCACTGCGTCTGCCGGCGCTGCGTCTGCCGGCGCTGGGGGGGGGAGAAAGCCGTTGAGCGCCTCCTGGAGCAAACCGCCGTGCGCTTCGGCTTCGGACCGCGACAACGACAGAGGCAGTTTGCGCAGCACGGCGCGGCGCAGTGCAATTTAGCATGAGCCACCCTGCGCTCTGAAGGTCGGGCAAGTTTGGCAGCTCTTGGCGTCGGCCCTTGCTTGCGCCAGCCTGGCTGCGAGCCCCCGTGCCCACCCAGACGACGGCGCCCCAGGACACGTGGCCTGCTGGCCCGAGGCCGCCATGGTCCCACAGGCGACGCTCGCTCCGGTCCTTCTCGATCGCAGCCCCCTCCAGCCTCACGGCGGTCACTCCGTTGAAAGCAACAGTCGCCCGTTCAGGTCGGCAGGTCGCGCAGGGACTTCCTGGAGGCACGCGGGCTCCATCGCCAGAGCGCCGTGGTGCGCGAGGGGAAACAGGAGTGGCCTGAGCGAGTCGCCCTGCTCTCCTCCTTTCTCCTGTGTCACCTCGTGCGCAACTCCTGCCTTGCCAGTCCGGACATACGTCGACGGCTGACCAATACAACACGTACGGGACCAGAGAGAAGGCCCCAGGCAACAACGAAGAAAAAGAAGGAACAACAGAAAAAAAGCTTCTTGAACAGGCGGTCGACGCGCACGTGGGCCAGTCCAGAGGTCTCAAGACCAGGCCAGCAAGGTGGACGACAGTTGTCGCCAAGTCGGCGTTCGTGGGAGCGCGCGGAGCGTGGGCGTCGAAGGCGCGAGCTGGGACGGCGCGCAAGCGTCGTCCATCTCAGGCCCAAAACCTGTTGGGAGAGGACTTGGCCGACGAGCCTGCCAAAGGCGTCTCCTGCGACATCCATCGTGCGCGGCACGCGGGCGACGCTCGCTGGGATCTCCGCCTGGGCGTCAAAGGCTCCGTTGCCCGAGCGTCGCTGGACGCTGCTCCTTCGACGCTCTCGCCTGCCTCGGGGCGCCAAAGGCCAGCAGGTGCAACGGGCGCTCCTGTCAGCAGCGGGCGCTGCCTCAAAGTCGACAGCGCCAGGGTACCCCCCCTGTGCAGGGACGCCCGGCACCGACCAAAGCAGGAGGGGGGCGAAGCAGGCGCGGCGACAAGCGGGAACGCGAGGAGGCGGCGCCGGCAGCAAAGCGCCGCGGCCGGCAGGGCCCTGCGGCGAGGGGGCGGCGGCGGCGGTGGCGGGCTGCAGCTGGCTGGGGCCCGCGAACCGACCGAGACGCACAGTAGGCGACGCGGCGGCTGGCGTGGCACTTTCAACACCGACGGGGTGGCCTCACAAGGCCGAGCAGAGCAAACGACGCGGGCACCAGGAACTTACACCTGGCCATTCCGGCCGCCTCCAGGTCCTCTCCTGCAAGGTCGACGGCCAGCGGGGGCGACTCTCCAGCTGGCCCGCCTGCTTGCCACGGAGGAATACACAAGCCGCACCAGGTCTCCTCGGCCGCTAGACGGAGCTTGCGTGGACCAACCACTGGAGTGGGTTCTGACGCGTCGCGGCCGAAGACGCGCTCATGGCCACCCCGACGGGCGAAGGCTCTCTGGCACTAGGGGGGCTGCTGCGGAGGACGCGCCAGACAGGGCCGAAGTGCTGCTCACAGACACCGCCGGTCCACCGGCTAGCCAGCTGCCTGCACGCCCCTGACGCTCGGCACCCAGGCCAACGTGACCGCACGGGGGCGCTCCGACCAGGGCAGAAAGCACCCCCAACACGAGCGCCACAAGCGCTACGAGCAGCACCACCGAAGAGCACCACGACG